GTGATGAAATAATTGAGATATTTTGTTTTGTTTTGTTTTGTTTTTGAGATAGGTCTCACCCTGTCGCCCAGGCTGGAGTACAGTGGCATGGATTATAGCTCACTGCTGCCTCTACCTCCCAGGCTGAGGCAACCTCCCCACCTCAGCCTCCTGAGTATTGGGACCACAGGCACACACCACCCATCCACTAATTTTTTCATTTTGTGTTGCACAGACGGGGTCTTCTTCCTATGTTTATCAGCCTGGTCTCAAAACTCCTGCGCTCCAAACTCCTGGCTCAGCAGTTTCTCTTGCCCTTAGCCTCCCAAAGTGCTGAGATTACAGGCATGAGCCACTGCACCTGGCCTGCCATATTTTCTATAATTAAACTGTGCCAGATGTCAGAACAGAGTTATATATATGAAGGAACCTGAAATCGGGCTTTGTATTTCCATGTTTAGTGTGAAATCTCACAGAGTCATAGATTTTTTTCCACTTTGTATGACTAAAGGAAAGAACAGTGATCCTCTGACTTAATGAAAAGTCAACCAGGCACAGTGGCCTGTACCAGTAATCCCAGTGACTTGGGAGGGCTGAGGCAAGAGATCACATGAGGCAAGAAATCAAGACCAGCTTGGGCAACATAGTGAAACTCCATCTCTAATGAATGAATGAATAAATAAATGTCAGAATATTTATACCTTCAGAAAATAGCTATAGTGTTATTACTAAGCAATCGCTTTTTCTTTTTAGAGGTTAATGCTACTTTGAATAGGCAAGCAACAACATCTGAAGTCTTTTGTGATATATTTACATGACCATTATATTACAAAGCAAATACAAACTTTTATTGGTTTATTCTTGTTTGTTTCAAAATACTTAACTATGACTTTAAGTGGTGCCTATAATAGGTGTCCTAACTGACTTTTCAAGTGGATCACCTAGTACGCTCGCCTAGTTTGCCTATGCCCATTAGATTTTTTTATTACTGTCCTATCAACGAAGGTAGCTATTGGGAATTGCTGGGCCTATTACCTTAGGTGCTGGGATGATATCTGTTGGCAGCATACACCACCATGCACCATGTACACATTTATGTTAACAAACCAAGCACAGGCTGACACGGTACGCCAGAGTTTTTAAAATAAATGTTTGTACAATAAAAAATATATTTCTAAAGCAATTAAATCCATTTTTGGAAATTATTGATATTATTTTATTATTTTTTAACAAAATACATGAATCCTATTATAATGTGATGTATTTTTGCATATATGAATGCAATTTGGGCCTTGATGTTTTTATTGATTAGATATTTTATCGCCCTCCTCTCAGGATGTACTAATACCTTTTTTTCTTGGATAACACTAGTGGCATTTCTGAAGATGAACTGAGTATGAGATTTCTCTCTGATTGGAGATGGTTTTTACGCCTGTTTTATTAAACAGTTGTCCAAACCAACTAACCTACTTGATATCTGATTGCAATAGCGCTGTTTTGCAATGAAGTAATAAAAACACTATGCCAAGATTTTTTTATCCATAAAAGGAAATTCAGTTTAAATCTATCGTTTTTGCAGATTAATTCCAATTGTACAGTATTTGTATCATGTATTTTCAACTGCCAAATTAAAATGTCTTTCTCGGGAAATTAGTCAGACATAGGTATTTTGGAAATATAGATTGTGTAATCACAATCATGTAAGTGATTATCTACAATCATAAATGGTATTTTCAGGCTACTACAAAGTCAATAGTTTAAGCAGGAACACTAACTTTCATTCATTTTTGGCAGTGATCAATCTTTGCATAACATATTACATACTTCTCTGACAAACATGTCTTAATGGAAAGAAATGCTTAGCCTATAGAATGTCATCAAGAAACTGGACACTGAAAGAATTACAAAACCTAGATTTTTAGTTTTCCATTTTACTGTATCCTATACCTTTAACAGCAATGTATGTATTCTTTTTTAGGCATCCCAGACAATGTGCTATCCTGCTCTAAATAGTGAATCAAAGATGAACTCTTTTTCGACTGCGTGCTCCTTGAAAAGTTTAACTATTTTTAACAATTATCTTTTGACAACAGCAGTCTTCACAACATTATTTAATATTTCTGTAACAATGAAACATGCCCCATCAACTTCCTTCCTGGTGTCAAAGATTTTGCATCAGTTTACGGATCAGATATGAAGGGATATTTATTTCTCAGGTTTAAAAGGTTTTCAGGTGTGCTGGAGAAGACCTTAATCCAAAATACAAGCTCACTATAATTATAAAATACAACTAAAAACACAGTATCTACGTTTCAAATTTTAAAGATCTCAGGCAGATGCAGTACTTAAAATTTCTTCTTTAAAAGTCAGAAAGAGGTTGCGTCTAAGGAAATGGTGACTGGAAAGAGGCACAAGGGGACTTTCTGGGCAATCAAATTTTCAGTATTTTAATTTGTGTGGTGGTTATTCCTTGCATGAACCACTCAAGACCTGTACAGTTTACTGTATGTAAATTATTCTTATTGCACTAGAAATTTTCCTATTAATCTCAAATAATCTTCACAAATTTATAATCAATTCATAAATAAAATTATGAATTAATTTGATTCAACCTATGTTAAAAGTTTCACTCCAAGGCTCACTAATTTCTACTAAAAGGTAATACCCATTCTCTCAGTACATAAAATATTTAGGATAGTAAAATGACAACAGAAATATCAAATTAACATTACTTACCCTGCTCATAGAATCAAAGCACTTCCTGACCAAAGATTCCACATCATTAGGTCTATCTTGAACATTTATCCAGTCTAACAAAGAAACATTAAAAAAGGGCAGATCACCATCTTTAGTGTCTATCGTAGTTTCATCTTGCTGATGAACAGTACTTTGACAAGATTCCCTAATCTCTTTGCCACTTTCAGCATCTGTGGTATCTGGGGACACGTGTTCCATTGACTTGGGAAATGAGGTTAACAAAGATTGGTTAGTTGTTCTAGGCATATCAGGAGAGAGCACCAGTTCAGTGGATCTTTTCATCTCAGCTTTTTCCGGGGCTTCATGTTCAGGTAAAGAATCCAATCTTCCCAAACATTCTCTGTAACTATGTCTGGTTAGGCACTCCAATAGTGGAATCTTGGCCATTACTGAAACTGCAGTTCCTAAACTTAAAATACAAAAGATCTGTCAGTAAAACTATGAGACTGCTCTAGTTAGGAATTAGCATGTTTGAATGAAATCACATATTACATACACAAATCTCACCACCTCTCCATAACATTATACATACATAAACTAGTCTATGAGTTAGCTATTCACTAAAAGAAGTCTAGTTTAGCAGAGAGAGGCTATCATTAATACATTAAAATATCACTCTAGGGCCGGGCGTAGTGGCTCACACCTGTAATGCCAGTACTTTGGGAGGTGGAGGCCAGCAAATCATTTGAGGTCAGGAGTTCGAGACCAGCCCAGCCAACATGGCAAAGCCCCATTTCTACTAAACATACACAAATTAGCCAGGTGTGGTGGCAGGCACCTGTAATCCCAGCTACTCGGGAGGCTGAGGCACAAAAATCGCTTGAACTTGGGAGGCGGAGGTTGCAGTCAGCTGAGATGGCGCCACTGCACTTCAGCCTGGGTGACGGAGCAAGGCTCCATCTCGAAACAAAAACAAAAACAAACAAACAAAAAACACTCTAAAGTAAAGCTAGCTATATTAAAGAAGTGAACACTACGCTTTTATAAAACCTTAAAGATAACAAATTTAAATTTACAAAAAGATTCACCATAGCAGTATCTTAGAATATAACCTTATGGCCTTAAGTAAATCAAATATATCTGATATACGGAAAGCACAGGATAAAAATAACAATCCTAATAAAGATACTCTTGTACTCATAACACCCTAAAAATAGGTTTATGTTGTCAAAAGCATGGGGAATATATGAAATCTTAGTGATTTAACTTCTATAAAATCATATGCAATATGATGTAGGTCCCTACTTTAAATTGATACAGCTAATAGAACCCATAGAAAAAGTTACTTGAAAAGGTTCTCATTTAAACTTTAAAAAGATCTTTCCAGTCTTAATGAATCCTTCTCTTTCCTCCCAAGATTTTTCCCTTTTTAAGGCCAAAATCTATCTAATATTCATACCACAAAAAAGAGAAATGTGAATTTAAAAGGTTACCCAAATTTTTAATACACATTGGGATTCTTTTAAACGACGCCTACTCCCTCCTCCTCACAAATATAACATCCAATTCAGCAATGAAACTAACCCTTATTGTGTGGTGTGAGCGATGCTTTGTTAGCCATTTTGTGTTCAAGGTTTTTTGTTTTGGATCTGTAAAGATTTTTTTTTTTTCCTTTTAAATTATCTTGACCCTTGAATTAGAGGCAGAGTAGCACTGTTCCCTCGGTTCTTGAATTCTTCTTTTCTCTTCTCTGTTCTTTTGTATCTTTT